TTGTAGTGTGGGTTGCCTATCGCCCCTTAGGGGGTTTCTGCATAGGAGCTCGGTGACTAGATCCTGTTTCCAGGTGTTTCATCCCCCCTGGAACCTGCAATTTTTGCGATACAGACATTTCATAAAAATCAAAGTTGTAGAGAATTAAAAGGCCTACAACGTTTGTAAAAGGCAATTACCACATTTCTGGGCTGGATTACGCACAATATGCCGAATAAGAATTCTTGAACATTGAAATTATAGAAAAATGTTAGTATTTGTCTTTTAGAGGCTAAAGTTTCGCTCCAAGCACCATGTACCCCTTAATACTTCTTGAAGAAGAGATCAGTCTGCATTGAATGACGCAAACCGCATTGCTGTATCTCAAACACAAGTTGAGATATACCAATTTGTTCAAAAGTCGAAATTTTGAACTTTGAACACGATTTGAGCCGATCGGCACGGTGGGATTTTGTGGGACTTTTGGCTAGGCACTCCTTAGACATGCCTAAAACGATCCCCAAAGTTTGGTACTGTTCGGAATTTTGTCTAGGTAAGGGGGTGTTTTTGCACAATTTGACTGTACTATTAGGGACGCGTCCTGTCACACTTGTTGCTGCCGACTGCACACTTCAGCCACGTTCTTCTCTCTCTGCCTGGCTTCGTGCGTTGAAATCTCTCGGTAAACTTGACCCGGAAGTGTGTTCGTGTACCGCGGGATGATGTACTTTTCCGTAACGGTGGTGTAGAAACTAATAAGACGCCAAAGCTCGTGGGCAAAGACTTTCTACCCTGTCGTCCATTCTGACGAAATCTATGAGATTATGAACTTTGACATTCATTCGAATTTAAATGAGACAAGTGCGAAATGCGGAGGGGTCGTGGGCGTTAAACTATTTTTGTTTTTCTTTGTTTCTTCTCGTCGCGGGCAGTGTAGTGTAGATGCGCCGGGCCGGCCCGCCCCAGTGCCCCGGCCCAGTAGTGTCGCTGAGTAAAGAAGAGTAAGCATGCTTGCCACAGCTTCACACGGCGGCGGCCTGCTCCCCTGGGCGGCCCGGCCCCGGCGGCCCCAACGGACGGCCGGCCCTGCGACCACCGCAGTGTAGTACTACTACTACGTACTCTGCCAGAAGCGAGAGGTTGGCACGGCGGCGGTCGCAGGAGCGGCGGCGGCCAGGACCGGGACGAGCAGCGCCAGGACGAGCGAGACGCCAAACCAGTCGGGGAAGTGTCTTGTGTACTCGTCTTCCCCGCTCGGCCCCGCCCTGCCTCGCCGCTGCATGTGCACCGTCACCATTCACCGCGCCGAGGCCGGGCCGGGCTGAAGCAGCAGCAGCGGTTTGAGGACAGTCGGACTCGGGCACGGCGATAAGGCAAACACAAGGGGTGGGCCGGGGCCGCCGGGCGGGCGCCGCGGGCAGGGCAGGGCAGGAGGAGGATCACGGGGGGAAAGGGCTGGGCCGGGCCAAGGGCCAACAACAGAGGGGCCCAGCCCGAGCCCGGCCCAGGGCCAGGGGGCATTGGACGGGTATCGCCTCGGCTCGGTCCTATCCGGGTGCCGCGCCGCGCTGCTGCTGGCGAGCGGAGCGGGTTACACCACCATTACACCACGGGGGCCCACCGCAGCCGGGCCGACGTACCGTACACCTCAAGGCCACGGCCCCCCTCGGGTCCACCACCACAGGGAGGAGAAATGGAGACCGTCTGCTGCCCGGTGTGTGCGTCGCTCCGTCTGCTCTTGTCTGCTGCCGTCTTTAGCCCGGCCGGAGGTGAGGCGTTACACAACAGGGCGAGGCGCGCCGGGCCGGAGCTCTCTGAACTGCCAGGTCCGCGTTTGCATTCGCCTCCCCGCGCCGCCGTGCAGGCCGCGACCGTCCCGGTTATCTTTGGCGAACTTTGTTCTGCACCGCGCCCGGCTGGCAGAGACGCGGGCGGCGGCGGCCTCAGCAGCAGCAGCCCGACAGCGTGACGCTAAATCCCGGGGCAAACATTTGAAAGTGAAATGTGGATCGGAAACCAAGCGAGCTCGGGCTCAAACAGGACGCTGTGGTGGGGGAGACGGGGGGTTCGGTTGGTCGGTGGCAGCGTGGCGCCAAGACCCACTGCTGCTGCTGCTGCTGCCTTGTTTGCGGCAGCCGAGCTGGGTCAAGAGGACTTGGTTGAGGCTGGTCAGGGAGACGGACGCCGCCCGTCGGGGCGCTGGCCTGAAGAGCAGCGTTGTCGCCGGATCCGTCCAGCCCACCCCTTCCTTCCGCCCCGCCACCCCTTCCGGGTCGAGCATGGTCCCGGCGACGAGCCGGCCGGACGTCGTCCGGGAGGCTGGTGGTCCCGCCGATTGCGTCGTTCCATCTCTGCGCGCGCGTGCCACCCGGGTGGGGGAGGGGAAGGGGAGCTCCCCGCCGCCGCGCCAGCACAAGTCGCGCCTCGCGGGCACGGCAGGGCGGCGGGGGGTCGCCGGTCGGCCTGAGTCGCGGCGCGAACGGGCGGAGAGCAGAAGCAGAACGCGGGGCGGACGACAGACGTCGTTCCTCTCTTGTTATTTATTCTCCGATGACAGGCCGATCCCTTCCGGAAGAGGGGGCGGCCGGGGTCGGAGCGTGCCCGGGGTGCGTGCGCCCACCCCCTCCCCCTTCTCCAATCTATAGTTCCGCTATTCGTCGAGTTGAAAGCGAAAAAACAATAATCGCACAGTTTCGTTGCGTCATCGCGAGGAGATCACACACAAAAATACTGGGCGGTGGGCGGCGTTCTTTTTACCCTCGCGATCAGCGCGCGCCGAGTGAGCACTCGTGTTGTTTTTGAGGCGCGGATTTTCTGTGAACGGCTGATAGATAACCCTGGCGGTGTGCGGGTGACCGACCGCGCATGCAGCACGCGACTCTGCCATGCACTGCCCCACGCCGCTGCGTGTAGAAAGTTTCCCTGGCGCGGGAGGAGGACGACGACGACGACAGACGTACGCTGTTTGATTGATGGTGGCACCCCCGCCCCGCCCCGCGCCGCTCCAGCCCTTGTCACTCTACCCCCCGCTACTCCACCTCCCGCCGCGCGCGCGTGTCGTCGCTCATGACATAATACCGAAGCCAAAGTTGCGCGCGATGTGCGATACAGTGCGGGGCGGGGTGGGGAGGGACGTTGGAGCCAAAGCAGCAGGGGGATCCCGGATTTCCGCCCGCGCGCACCCTTTTCTTAGCCGCGGCGGCGATTGGCCCGGCCCGACGCTGCGCGGCGCGGCGCGGAGAGCACGTGAGTGTGCGGTCGGCCGGGCCGAACGTATGGAACGGGGGGGAAATGGGTGGTTTTGGAGGCGGGGCGGGGCGTGCGGCAAATGACATGTTGTCTCGGCCGTCCGGGTCCGGCTGGTCGGCCCTGGCTGGCACATGGGCCGCGCCTCGCTGCTGCACCTGGGCCCAGCTGTTGCCGCGGCTGCTCGCCCCGCGCTTCGCCTCATCGCGCGGTTCTGCCCCGCTCGCGGCTGCTGGCCCGGCCTCCAATTAAGCCGTGCTCCTGATCGGCCTTCTCAGCCCCGCGGCCTGGCATGGCGGCGGGCTCTATCGCGCGGGTCGGCCCGCGGGCCGGGCCAGCGCAGCGGCGGCGACGGCGGCTCCCGACTGTACCGTCTGGCGCCGACTGCATCAGCTGTCTGGTCGGGCGCGGGGATTATCTGATGCAACGCGACCCCGCGCGCGACCCGCGACCCGCGGACCGCTTTTAATTGGGAGACTTTATTTTGGTGGCGGCGTCCCGTCCGCGGCTTGTCGGCCGGTGTCCGCGAATGCGCGAGTAGTAAAGAGGTGCGGGTGCGATCTCCCTCGGCAGCACTCGCGGCCCACACGCCGAGAAAGTGTCAGCGATGGACGACTTGACGGGCAGCAGCCAGCTCTTCTCTTGTGCCCCCCCCTCCCCCTTCTACCTCATCCTCTTCATCCTCTTCATCCCCCTCTGCTTATGGCCGCGTGGGAACGAACGCCTTGCCCTCACCTCACGGTGCGCCGGTGTAGTAGTAGTGGGCTGCGACGCTGCTGACGCCGTCCTCCTCTGCCCGTTGTCGCACCTGTCATGCGACGTGTCAGGCTTAGCACCTCGCCATTGCCTCCTCTTTCTTGTCCATAAATTAGCCGGCGGATACTGTAGGGCGAGGAGACGAGCCCTTTTGCTTCTGATGCCCTTTGCTGCTTTTGCTGCTGCTGTGGCTGCCGCTGCTGCTCCGGCTCCTGCTCTCTGTGCCCGTTCTGATGTCAGGAATGCGAGGGAAGCTCCGTCCCGGGCCGAGAGGGGGAGGGACGCCGCCGGGGGACGGTCTCTCTCTGTGTTTGTTTCGGATGCAGGTGGTCAACGGACTTGCCTGACTGACCGACAGGCTGGGAGCTGCTGCTGGGAGCTGGCGGGCCAGCGAGAATAAATATATGAAAGACTCTCTGGCACACAGCAAGCGGCACCCCC